TCGAATACAACAAATTATTTTTTTTTAAAAATAAAATATGATTTTTAATCAATTTTTACAGGAATTATTCTTTAAACAAAGCACCGTCTATTGAAGGCATTGGAAAAGATTTTTAAAAGTTAGTTTGAAATCATTTTTTAATTTTTTATTCCAGCTACTAACAAAAAAATTTGCAATAGGTGTTTAGTCCAGATACCAGCAATATATACTACTACCTGAAGGATATCGAATTATTATGCTCGCTTTTAGAAACTAGATTTTTTTTAGAAACCGTTAACGGGCGTGACCCCTATACTAACGTTAATAGCCACATAGATTGACTGAGGCACCCCAATCTTTTTTTTTATAATATTGTACAAGATAAAAATCGTAATTCCATTAAATATTTTAATTAAGAGAAAATATACTTTCTTAGTTTTAAGGACTTATCAATTTTTCTTTGATAATTTCAGATGAAATCCAATCAAACTGAACAAAAATGACAAAATTCACAGACACATTTCGCTAAAATTACAGGAATGATATTAGCAGACAAAACTGCCGTACTTTGTTCAAGTTATTGTAGATTTATGTTCTTTAGATTATTTCTAATAGTATGTTGAACTTTTTTCTTGCCTGTTTCTTTTTGACAGGGCTCAGTGTGGCTTGTGTACACTTGTGGCTTTATATCTTTCTTGATGAATTTTTTAGGTAGCATTTAAAAAATTTCCTTTCAACGCAAACGTTTCATGTTATATAATCGCTTTTTTCAAATTTAATTTTTCTATCATGATTAATGTACATTATTTCAGTAGTTGATAAGCTTCAATTTCCTTCAATAGAGATCACAGATGCCTATTTCTTTTCATATTCTGCTAAATTACATTTATAAACCATAATAAGTGGAACACAACACAACAATCAAAAGCACTAAGTTGTTCACAGCGCGGTTAGTTATTAAAATAATTTAAAAATAAAGTGGTTGAGTGGGGAACCGAGTCAAAACATGTACCTTAAGATTTGTAAGAAATTCCCGAAGAGAGAGAGAGAGAGAGATGTGACAAGTACATGTTAACTTCCATCAAAACTGTCATATAGCAGGATACTGTCAAGTTCATTGCTAACAAATAAACAGTTTTCCCTCAAATGAAGATTTCGTGAGTCTGGGATAATTCTGTTAACTGTTAAGGTGATGAATTGGTACCAGCATGTAATATCATGGTTACACTACATCAGTACATAAGTATATACAGCAAAAGAAAGTTAGTTAAAGTATTATGGTTACGTGTGAAAAATTGGATTGTATCTTCTAAAAAATTATCAGGCTTCCTTTTCCCCAAAGAAAGGAAACTGAAAAAAAACAAGAAAAAAAAAAAATTACATCAGTTCCTACTTCGTTAGAAAAACGTACTGGTTCCATTTGCTGCTGCTAGTTAGTGCAATCGAAATAACGGAAAAAGATATTTAAAATTAAAAAATAAAATTCATTTAATGAATTAATATTTGAAAAACTGTTCTAACATCAAATGTCATCCACGACAAGTTTAAAAAGAAGTATTTGAACTTGAATGGATGATGGATGAATAGAAAATATTTTATTGACGATTGAAAATTTGAACTATATACACACACACACACACACACACACACACACATATATATATATATATATATATATATATATATATATAGGGAAAACTAACTAATAGTAGAAATTGAAAAAACAATATATATATACTGAAGTTTTTTTAAAGAAAAACGTCTGTATTGTTTATGAAAGCCATGCCGAGATTTTTTAGATGTTGGATAGTTTGGTATATTTTGTTAAATTTTAAAATTTAAAAAAAGTTGTATTTTTTTATTAGAATTATACAATTTTCTTTGAAAAAATAATACATTGAACAATACAGGGTGTCCAATATTCATAGTTAACCAAGCAATAGGTGAAAACAGGGAGTCATTTCAGCTCTGGGAAATATTAAAAGCAAAAAAATAACTTCGAAACACTTGATTAGGGGATGACTACATACATTTAAGAATGTGGAAAATTTATCCCCTCCATCGATATATCAGGTACTGTGAACATAAATTTTCTAATTCTACGAAGAAATTTTAAAATCATGTTTTTACAAATCCTTTCTATTAGTTACATGCAATTCTTGCCTGGTGCTGGGTAGAATTAATGTAGTTTGACCCGATTTCAGAAAATGATGCCGTATTCGCCATAAATAGAAATTAGTTACATAAAAATACAGGCAAGTTATTCAAATTAGCTCCATTTAGTTAAGATTTCGAAAACTTACAACATTTTATACTTCCATATCCGTAACAATTATTTCCAATTTCCAATTATTTTTTTAACAAACTGGTTTTATTTTAAATATGAATATATATTGTGTAACTCAAACTATAAGCAATAAATTTAACAATGAAACAGGAAACATATTTTTGTAAAATATTTTCTCTAAGTATTCACAGCCACACAAAAATGAATATGGGCTCTTAAAAAATGAGTCTTGAGTATCTAAATTTATTTCTTTTACTGAATCCGCAACCATTTGGCGAAATTCGGTTACATTTTCGATTGGCTTTAAAGAGGTTATACAAAGAAACACTTGAAACATATTATGAATTTTAGTTTTACTAAATTTTTTCAAAATTCTCATTATTTAATATATTGCTTAGCTTTAGTTATAAACATAAGATTTAATTTTGTTAAGCCGTTCCGTAAGAAAAACTAAAAATAGCTGTTACGAATATAAAAAAATATCTAGTTTTGAACCATTTTGGATTCCTAACAAAATGGTTCATCTTTTGAGAGAACTTGCCTATAAGAGTCTAAAATATATTAATTATTACGGAGAGTCAAAATTAGATAAGAACATTTTATCAACCTTCACTGCATTGATTTTACATCTGACACATACATCTTTAATTTTATCAAAACCAGCAAAATTTTTCACCCGACTTGTCATTGTAATCAATAGCACGGCCATATAAGATGGTGTTAGTGAAAAAAGTTATTAAAAATATTGTGAAATTTGTGTTTAGAGTACCTAATACTGTGATGAAGGGTGTCAATTTTCTACAATTTCAAAATATGCTAGGAGTCACTTTTCTAAGAACTAATCCTCTCATTTTTGCTCCGCTTTCATACATTACGGGATTTATGCTCGTGTTTAAAGATATGTATTCCAAGAAATTTTAAAGCTATTTTTTTCGAAAAAAAGTCTTCCATTAATTATATATTAATAATTAACCTTTCAAATTAATCCAAAATTTTTAAAAATGGAATTTTACACTCTACCATAGATACATAGTAATGCATCTTATTTCACTTCTCCGTGTAATACGAATTATTTTTACTCGAGGGAGAATAATTTTTGCAAGTGAACTCATATACCGTAAAATCCGGCGTATAATGCGCACCGGGGTATAACGCGTACCTATATTTTAAAGCTACATTTTTTAAATTTTAGGTGTCTTCGCCGTATAACACGAACCATGTTTTTAGCGAAAAAAACTGAAATGTTTGTAAACAATGGTCTTATGTTTCGAAATCATTTATTCGAGGTATTATCGTAGACTTTTGAAAAAATAGTACACTTCTAGAACAGTAATTCTTTTACTTAATAAGACATGTCATTTCTTTTAAATAAACTGTATTTAGATATGCGTAGAAATAATTTTTATGTATGCTTAACTATTTGGTTTTTATTAAAGGTATCGTTTTTATACCCGTCGTATAACACACACACCCTTAGATTTCGATCTTACTTTTTTTCTGTTAAAAATGCGCGTTATACCAAAGCTATCTTGAAGAACAAGCCATGACAAAATGCTCGTAAAATCAGTCACATTACCAAAGTAGGGAATACGGCTTTTGCGGGAGACACGATTATACAAACACTTCCATCTTGTATGCTTACACAGTTGGTAGCTTATCCCACGTGCATTCATTGCTCAGGATATATTTACTGGACTTTCTGCATAAATGATTACTCAGCATTTCTTTATTAACCTTAAAGAAAAATGTACGATATTTATATTATTGTATAACTTTATTCAGATCATTGATTTTTTCTTCTTTTGAGTCTTGAGAACACGATGTAATAAATTGATGTATCAATGCCAACATCTTTAATTATTTGTAAATTAAGATATTTTGTTTTATAAGATAAATTAGTGTTTAAATCCATATTTTTTATTCTGTCAAATCTTGGTTCTCTTAAACATTTTATAATAATACCTCGCTCTAGTTGTGTACCAAATTGTTCCTCTAATAAACCGGGACAGCCGTATGTTTCTGTACTTCGTTTCCCAAAAGATGAACAGTTGTTACAAACTTAAAAAAAGAAAATTTGAACAGGGATTTCAAAATACTAACAATAGTGTAGTGTGCGTTAATCATTTCTCTGAATCTTTCATTGTGAGAAAAGATAAAATTACACACAAGACTGTTACTGTTATAGAAATACCTAGAGTGTATCTAAAATTAACAGAGAATGCATGTCCTTGCATTTTCTCTGTTTGTCCATCCTATTTGAATGAAAAAAAATAAAGAACACTCGTTGACAACTCAACGAAAGGAAAAAATGAAACAATTAGGCGAATAACTGCTTACTAATTTCATTAAGAAAGACGAAATTACCCCAGTTTTGAATTTTTAAAAGAAAATCTGCTAATGCGATAAAATCCCATATATGATTCCGTATCTAAAATCAATGTTCTTAAATATGATTGTAGAAGTTTCATAACATTACTTTTTATTAATTGTGAAAATTGACCTACTATTAAACAAGCTTTTATTTAATTTGCAATGTAAAATGTTCGGGTGGAGACTTGTAACTCAATTTTGAAGCTGATGTCTTCAACCAATTGAGCTAAAATTTTGTATACACGTTTAGTTTGGATAACAATGGATATTTTGACAATTTAAATTCCGATATTTACCTAGTTACTATAAAGATCTTCTTCGGATGTTAAGGCGAGCTGGTTTACAATAAGAAAGGTGTGGACCGTGTGGGTATAGCTCAGATGGTAGAGCGCTCGCTCTGCATGCGAGAAGTACGGGGATCTATGCCCCGTAACTCAAATTATTTTTTCGTGTAAAATATTTTTGAAATTCATTTGATTTGTGCAACGAGATATTTTAAAATACTTCCACTATGCATACGTACAAAATACGTTATATTTTTACTGTTTCAGAGGGAACACTAAGAAAGGCAGATCTATCAAACTATTTCTCTTTAGTTTCAAACATTCTATCATATATATTTACTCGATTCTAGTTTTTTCCGTAACACTTTTAATTGACCTAGTTACTGTAACGATCTTGTTGAGGAGTAACGGCGAGTTAACAGTTAACGCAGGTGTTGACCGAGAGCGTAGCTCAGATGGTAGAGTGCTTGCTTTGCGTACGAGGATCTATACCCCGCGACTCCGATTATTATTTTTTTGTGTAAACTATTTTTGAAATTCGTTTGATTTGTACAACGACATATTTTACAATACTTCCATTCTGTATACGTACAAAGTAAGTTATAACTTACACGATTTTATTTAACTTGCAATGTAACTTGTTCGGGTGGAATCTTGCAGCTCAATTTCGAAGCTGATGTCTTCAACCGATTGAGCTAAAATTTTGTATTTCCGTTTAGTTTGGATGACAATGCATGTTTTGACCATTTAGACTCCAATATCGCAATTAGTTAAAAAGTCTAGCTTCATGGCCTGGTTTTGCACGGGCTTTCTCTAATTTTTCCCTTTCCATAACAAAATCAGCACTTCTAACACTTTTCAAAATGACTTCGATCTCCCTCCCTTCTCCACTTAGCCTGACGTTGCATAGATTTTACCGAGTGTATAATCTAAAATTCCCTGTTTCGAAATTTTTTCGCTTCTGTTCTTTGTCAGACAGGTTTATTCCCCTCGGCGTTGCACGAACATTTTTAAATGCATAACATATTGTCAAGGAAATTCCCCTTCCCCTCTTGCTATCACAGCTCTCGACTAAGACAGCATTCACCATTTCTTAAGCAGCTTGGCAGGTGCAGCCATCTAGTGGCACAAAAAGTAATAAATTATTACACAAAAAAATTCGGCATTTTATTTTTTAAATCAATAACTGTAATAGATCAAAGTATAAGTTTTTTAAAAATTATTTTCATATAAACGCATCGATATTGATTTCTTTTCGGAAAAAATCAGAAAAATATGTAAAGTATGGTTGTTTTGTAAAAAAAAATTAGATTGTTTTTTAAAAACGTCTGGAATAAAAAAAAAGGTCGGCAAATTGTAACTTTGTCACCTGGTGGGAACAAATGACAGTAATTAAGCATTTTAAGGTTTTAATTACTATATTTTTAACTAATTGCAATATCGGAGTATAAATGGTCAAACTGATATCTCCGAACATTCCCGATCTTTTGGTACCTTCTCCAAATTTTTCTGCTGTAGGAAATAGGAGAGTTATTATACGAGGCGATGCATTTGGATGTAAAACTCAGTTTATTGTTAGAGTTCTATCATCTGCTCTCGGAGGGATACGTGCGCTAACAAGGAAGTCTGAGTCCGGAAAAGAGAGGGAACGAAAGCGCGGGGTCGCTTTTGTAGAAAATCTAACGCATGCGCAGATTGAATTAAAGGTGCTTGCGCGAGTAAGCACTGCCCGCAATTGCTCTAGATCCTGCGCACGCACAGATCGTAATGAAAAACTTATGAGGAGTTGATAAACTCTACAGAGTATCCCCCCAGAGAGTATGCGAACGATAAATACATACAGAATACAATTACTGAAATACAACAAATGGTACATAAAACAATATACAAACATTATATACATGGGAAATGGATAATACAATTTGTAAGGGTTGAAAATTTACATAATGTTAAAATAAATATGAATGAAAATATCATGGTCTACACAATTCAATAGTAAAATACATATGAAATCAAGGTATATGTTGCAGATTATTCACATGTAGAATTATTTAACTATGCATATTAAATGTAAAATGTACTCACTAATTCAACTTTACAATAACAATTGAAATATTACATTATTTCAGCAGCAAGATAAATTCTTGGGGTTGTGAAAGTTAAGAATCAAAAGTTAATCCTAATGTAAACAAACAATTGGGATTCTTACTAAGACCAGAATTAATAACTTGACAGTTTATTATTTAAAACATAAGCAATCAAAATGTACTCAATCACTAGTAATAGACTCATAGAAGGCATAGGAATTAATGGATATTTACAAATACTGGCTGAACACAGGCAATTTCTATATTGTTGACAACACTGAAATACACAAAATGTACACAATATTTCTGACAAGTATTTTAAAGAAGTTGAAAATAACTTGAATTTTCAAGAGTTAACTTCTCGCACACTTACATACAAGGCATAACATTGCTAATACAGAATTATTAGCAGTAAGTATTAGTAGTGTCAGTAATAAAGTAATTAATAAATAAAATTTTGTATATATATACACGTATAACACTAGTTTAGAATATAAAATTTTCCACTATCAATCACAATGAAAAATAAATCTATCTAATATATACAATGTTGAATTTCCTTTTGTTTAACACAAGATTTGATACATAAAGTACATTTTCTTTTTAAAGTTTGGAAGAAAGAAAATAATTAGACAAATATTATTATTGATATACCATTTATCAAAAGGTATTTGTAATATTAATTCATATGTGCTATTAATTGTAGTAGCCTGAACTTATATAGTTTTAGATTTGTAAACACAGAAATAAACAATTGAATAAAAATATATATACATACTAAAATGCTTGAAAATACACAATTCACCAATTAATATCTGAAATATAATTATCTTAAGTGTTTGAAATTTATACAAAAGGCAATTTACTGTAAATGTAAATAAAAAATTACATACATATTATGTTATATACTGTTCCAGATCTTTGGGAAATCTGACATGTCTTCCACTTCTAGTCTTGTTTACAGTTTTCTCATTTGGTTGAGGTTCAGCTTTATTTATGTGAGACATAGTTTTGTCTTTTGAATGATGATCAGTTTCATCTGTTTGTTGCTTTGATATTCCAGTAAGAGGAATATCATCGGTGTCATCCCAGACATAAGCTGGTTTTACACGATCAATGGAAACTGTCTTCCTTTTTCCATTTATGAGGATGGTGAACACTTTGTCTGTTCGACGGATTACTTTATGAGGTCCTGTATAATTTTGCGAGAGTGGTGGCTGGACACTATCAATTCTTAAGAAAACATGTGAACAGCTCTTTAATTTAGTTGGCACAAAAATAGAGCTATTTGAATGAGCAGATGTAGGTGTCGGGGTTGTAATGCTCTCATTTTCTCACGTAAAAATGATACATAAGTTTGGTTGCAGGTAGTAGTAATCTTGTCTGTGGAGAAAAGATCAGATGGCAATCTGAGAGTAGTTCCATAGACAAGTTCTGCACAAGTAGCATTGATGTCTTTCTTCACAGCAGAACGCATGCCGAGAAGTACAATTGGAATGATTTCGCTCCACTTTGAATTCTCATGTGCTTTGATGGCACTTTTGAGATGGCGATGCAGTCTTTCAACAAGACCATTGGCTTTTGGATGATAGGCACAGCATCGTATTCTATTTGTGCCGAGAATATTACTCAGCTCTCTGAAAAGGCTTGATTCAAAGTTTGTACCTTGGTCTGTTGTTATAATAGCCGGACAACCAAAACGTGATATCCAAACAGATAACAATGCTCGACATACTGTTTCCGCAGTCATATCAGCAGTTGGGATTACTTCCATCCATCTCGTAAAGCGGTCAACTACTGTCAGGCAGTAACTTTGACCATTGGAAGGTGGAAAGGGACCAATGAAATCAACGTGAATTTGGGAAAATCTGGCATCAGGTAAAGCAAATGTACCGATTGGTGCTTTAGTGTGCCTATAGATCTTGGATCTTTGGCAAGGATGACAAGAGTTAACCCATGTTTTAATATCACGCCTAATATTTGGCCATACAAAACGTTGAGTTGCTAATTTGGTAGAGGCAGCAATTCCAGGATGTGAAAGACCATGGAGATGTTGGAAAACAATTTTGCGATAATCCTTGGGAATGAAAGGTCGAAAAACGTTGGTGGAAACATCACAAGTAAGAGTAATATCTTCCAAAGGAAAATATTGTTGCTTAAGTGTTAAAGATGTTGAGTTGGTTTCCAGGAGTTGTTTAAGTTCCTCATCTACCAATTGGGCTGCAGCAATGTCCTTGTAATCGAGACAACTTGCTTGGGAAATGGAATCAATTTCGATACGAGATAATGCATCTGCTACCAAATTCCGAGTTCCAGGAACATGTTGTATGTTCGTAGAGAACTGGGAGATAAAATCCAGGTGTCTAAGTTGACGTGGACTACATTTGTCAGCTTTCTGTTGAAAGGCATAAATGAGAGGTTTCTGATCAGTGTAAATCACAAACTCTCTTCCTTCCAACATGTGCCGAAACCTTTTGACCATTGTGTATATGGCCAGGAGTTCTCGGTCGTAAGTAGACCAGTTCTTTTGGGATGCAGATAATTTTATGGAAAAAAAACCAAGTGGTTGCCAGACATTGTCATGAAATTGTGCTAATGCACCACCGACAGCAAAATCTGAAGCATCAACCCAAATGCTAAGAGGTGCATTTGGCATGGGGTGATGTAACAGAGTAGCATGTGCTAGGGCTTGCTTCACCAGTTCAAAAGCTGTAGTAGCTTCGTCCGTCCATTCTAGCGCTTCTTCAGGCTTGATTTTGACCTTTCGCTTTGGACGTTTTTTATTTCTGATGCCTTTTAAAAATTTTACTAAAGGTGCAAGGATATGGGCAGCCTGTCTAATGAAACGTCTGTAGTAATTCAGCATTCCAAGAAAACGACGCAATTGAGTGATGGTGGTTGGTTTAGGAAATTTGAAGATTGCTTCTACTCTATCCTCTAAAGGCTTAATTCCAGAACTGCAAACTTGAAAACCAAGGAAATTTAAGGTGGGTACTCCAAAAGTACATTTAGAAGGGTTTATAGAGAGTCCATATTGATCCAACCGTTGAAAAAGCAACCGAAGATG